CAAACTGCAGGCATGGAAGTCCAGGGAGGTTTCTTGAAGTTGGTGACACTTCAGCTGACTTTTTGATGGACAGTAAAACGTGGAAGAGGCCATTTCGAGCAGGGGTATGGCATATGTAGAGGCACAAAGGAGGGAAACAGTAGGGTTTACCTGGGGAACTATGTGTTGTTGTGTATGTCTGGAGCAGGTACCTAGCCCTCAGTGTCAGGAAGTAAAACTGCACAGGCAACCTCTCACCAGATGGGGATGGGTCTTGGCATCAGCCAGGGAGTTTATATCATCTTTACAAGTATAAAGAGTAGTTGATAGGTTTTCTTATAATGACTTTTAAATTAAAACATTAATACATACTTACAGAAAATATGAAACACCTAGAAAAGCATAAAGTACAAAATAACAATCATCTTTAACCTAATTCCCAGAACTCACCACTGTTAAGATTTTAGGGCAATCTGTCCTTTTCTCCTATGCATATTCTTAGATATTTGAGAGCATGTTGTATAGGTAAGTTTATATCCTTCCTTCACATTTAACATTATAACATATACATAGTTAATGCTTTTGAAATTTTGTAAATATTTTAATGGCAGCATAAAATTCCATCATATGGACACCATAACATTTATTTAACCATTTTCATACAGATGGAAATGGAAGAGGAGATATTGTGGGTTAGGTTCCGGACAACCAAAATTTAGCAAGTATTGTAATAAAGCCAGTCATAATCTTTGTGCTGGTGGAGGGTCTTGCCTTCAATTTGCAAAAGGGCAGTAAAGCGAAACACAATAAAACAAAGTATGCCTGTATTATAAATGAAGCCACAATGTTCATATTTGTATGAACTTAGAGTCTGTCAATGATTTCTTGTGATCAATATCAAGAAAGAAATGAACAAATCAGCAGTATGAAAGTTTCTTTCCAAAAAGGTTTCTGCCAGCTTCCAGTCTCATCATAGGTGTGAAAGAATGTACATTTCACCTTCTCTTCCCAGCACTTGGTGTTATGATTCACGCCACTGGAGGATTTTTGGTATGGGATGACAGGACCAGATATGCATTTATAAAATTGCACAGTGGAGGCTGAATCAAGTAGGCAAAATCGGAAATGCTGTTGGTGTCCTGGCCCTTCCTCCTCTGTGTCCACATTCTCCTTTTTTTATTTCCCCCTTCACCTT